GTCATAATGACCTATGTAGTTCATTTACAGGGTTATCCACAAAAGGGTGAAGAGAAGACAGGAGAAGTGAACAATCTAGGGCAACATAGCTGATCTGGAAAGTGAGCTGAATTGGAGATTGTTTCCAGTTCAGCTATGTTGTCCTAGAATGTTTACTTCTCCTGCCTTCTCCAAACTCTTCGCCCTTTTGAGAATAACCCTGTAAGTCTTGGCGACCTTGTTCATTTTAAGACTGCAAAGTTGCAGACACATCAGCCTGTATTTTTAAAAATCCCTTAATTTCTATTTTTCTTTTTAAAACTATATTTTTAAATCCATGTATAAAACATAATTTCACAGTAAAAAAAAGTATTAATTTTCCTCTGTATTTGGTTGGATTACATGATGTTTGTTTCATGCTGAATTAAAGATGATGTCCCTCTTTGTTCTTCATAGTCTCCAGTGTTCCATATCCTGAGTGTTCTAAGATTCCGTTGTTCATCATAAGTCATGTCACTGCCAAGAGCAACTCCTCAACTGCCAGTGTGATGCATCGCACAGGGCTATGATATTAGAATGAAATGTTCAGTGGAATAATATTTCAGGGAGAAATAGGCTTCCCCCTCTGCCTTGGTCATCTGTCTTAAAATAAAGCATTGTAACACACATGTTGAAGTAATGGGTTTGGCATACTCACAGCCTGTCAGCAAAAAGGCAACATATTTATCTCAGAGTATGAAAAAATAAAGTATACAGCACAAGATTGCCAAGTGATTGTCATTGTACAGTCTATATGTTCTGCATAAGATCCTTACCTTCATTCCTCTAAACCGAGTAACATGTATCTATAGCTGCACATGTGCAAAAAAAAGTCCTAAATCTGTATACAGTAAATATATACACTGACAGACAACCATTGGTGTATTAGCCATTCAGAAACTTATTTTACTTGTTGACTTGATGTTTATGTGTATGATAAACAGCTGCCAAGTTTTTCTTTATACAATATTGTTTTCACCTTTTTGTTTTTCGTGCTTTTTTTGCCACTAAGCTAAAAATGTTCATCACCATTACCAGTTAATGGCACCCCAAGTGCAGCTGGGAATATGCAAGTTCTTACTCTGTGTTTGCACATGTTAAACATGCACAAATGTGGAAGAAAAAATGTGGAATGTTTTGTTGCACTATTTGCTATATGCACTACTTTTCCGCATTTGTCGCATGTGCAGAAATCCATTGAAATTAATAGGGATGCGTGGCAAAAGCAGAGAACAAATGTGCGCAAATGCACAGAGATGCATCCAAATGTGGCACGCGCAAACGTGCTGCCTAGGTGTGAATTGAGCTTAAGAGAAAAAGTTGAAAAAAACCTTAAAGTGGATAAAGTACCAGAGAGGCAATACCTTTCTTCTTTAGAATTAACTAAACTATTCATTAAAATTCTATCCAACCAGGCAGGCACTTGCACTACATAGTTGCTGGTAGGCAATTCTGCAGACAGATTGCAACGTGTATTGTGAGCCCTAAAGTAGTGGTCTCTCTGCAGCCCTCTCAGTAGAAACAGAATGATGTGCAGCAACCCCTTGAAACTAGTTACTTGTCTCCTTTCACTGACATTTCACAGGAGTCATAATGTTGATATTTGATATCAAACAGTATTTGGGTATTTAGAAATCCTCAAAATAATTCTCAGAACTTTATATAAAAGGAGCTCACTCTAATAACCCAATTACAGCCATATATTATATTTTTAGGGGCAGATTGATTTCTTTTATGGAAGGAAAGCTAAGAACTTAGACGAGTCCCACAGAATTATAGGACACCTTTACCATTTCCTGTACAATGCAATTCAACATTTACTCATAATGTGATATCAAAAATACTTTGTGTCGAGATTATATAATAAATCTACTTTAGCCAATCTCATACCTATCACACTTATCATGCGGTCTCTTTTGGACCAAGACAAATATTGATTTTTTTCTGTTATTGTCCCCGAAGATAGTACACTTGGGTGTTAGGCTCCAGTTACACCTAAGCGTATTGTCGCGTGACAAAATGCTCGACCCCAGGAATGACATTCAGTTCTATAGCCCCTGTTCACAGCTGTGCGTTTTGTCGCAAGCAGATATACACCTGTTGCACTAAATACTACAGGAGCTACTTTGGGGCAGATTCAGCGCGTTTTCTTCCCATTGACTCAATAGAAAATGCTTGAAAAACACGCGCTGCAATTATTTTTGAGCAGATTCAGCACGTTTTGCCCACGCACATGAACATGCCACAATCTGCTCAGTATGCCACAATCTACTCACAATCTGCTCTTAAACACGTGCAAAGAACGCTCACAAAAAATGCGTGTAAGATGCGCGTAATAGGTGTCGCTTAGGTGTGAATGCAACCTTAGACTGGGAAACAAATCATAAAACCTCACCTGGTTGAAAAAAATGCAGTGGTACAGGAATCTACTGTTGCATCCAAATACCAGTGTTGTCCTCAAACTAATCTTTGTGGAGCTCCTTGGATTCTAGGCCCAGGCTGTACATTGGACCTCAACTTTTGCTATGGTCAAAAGGATTTCCTGCCCCTCATTATGCAGGTTTAAAATGCCAAAGGGATGGGGAATTTTTAGCATCTTTGTTGACTTAAAATCTGTTTAGGCTTTTTCAGGCTCACAATAAAGTACTTTTAAAATGGACCTGAACTCAAAAATGGGAAATCTATTATGTTATAGACAACAATTACAAATGTTAATTGTTCCAAAGCAGTTAAAAAATATATATCTTTTGTCTTGAATTCCTATAGAGGGGGGCTCACATTCTTCCACACTATCCAAACCTAAAAAAAAGTTTTGCCTTTTACAAACACAAATTTTTCTCACCACAACGCGAGGTATTGTGGTTTGCCGGGAAGTGCATTGAGATATTTAAATGAATGGCAACACAATGCACATGGTTCTGTGCACGGTGCAAAACACATGGTATCGTGCTTATAGCTAAAACACTTATGGTGTGAACCTTACTCTTTCATCTGGTGACAGCTGTCACTAGAATTGAAGTAAGAGAAAATCCCAAATTCTGGGTTGGTATTCAAAACAGGAAGTAAAAGGAATACATCCTAATAGGACAGAGATGGCTAAAAAAAACCTTACAAGTAAGCGTACCCTTCTCTCTCCAAAATAAAAAAATCAAAACAAAATAGAGAAACTACAGGTACATAATGCATTCATCTAGAAGTACTTGCATATGCCTGCAGCAGTCTACCAAGCCTGCCTGTCATGGCCGAAACCTGTTTTGACAGGCATAACCCCTACACTTACTGGTGGTGTTGCTAAGCCCCTGCCCACAAATCCCTTATATCTATATTATGACAGGTTGCCTTTAATAATCAAATAGGAATGTGCAGGAGGTAGTTAATAGAAATCATGCTCTAATACTGTTGGGAATTGCTAAAGCTTTGCCTGGCAAAGCAGTCAAATATTTGGCTATGACATGGGGATGCTGCTGCAGATGTCTGCACCTCCTAGATGACTGCATTTTATACCTGCAGTATATGTTGTTATGAAAAATGCACTTTAATCTGCTAATACCATATCTGCTTATCACTAATGATGCAATTTTCCTTAAATAAATGAGCCTGATTTAGTTTAAAGCAATTGAAATCTATTTTGTACTTTCTTTCATATGCCCTGTATAATGTGTTAGCTGGAAATTTGGCATGTAGCAAGGGCCTGAGAAGAGAAGATTGTTAGGCTTTCAATATGGGAATCATTATAATATATACCCCGGTGCATTCCCTCAGCTTGCATGAGTTTACGAAAGATTAATATATTGTAGGAAGCTGTAGCCGGCTAACGGCCAGAATTTAATCAAGATTTGTCGAATGAAAATATTTGCGTTGGCAATGACGAGGAGAAGCTTTACGTCTCTTACTTTATTCTGTAGAGGCCTCTCATAGTATTTGTGGGCTTATATGGTCACCTGTTGAACATCATGTATGGAAATCTCAGGCCCATAGCTCCTGGTTATTTTCTGCAAATATTAAATCTGCGTGGGAAAAAAAAGCCTGATCTCTGCATGCATTCCTGTGTGATAGGTTCTACAGTTCGTCCTTATTAAGAAAACCGTTAAATAGAGAGCCACTCTGAATCAGAAATAGAATCTCAATAAATTGAAGTGAGAAAACACCAAACTAAAGCCCAACCTTAGCCAAAACATTTCTTTTTGGTTATTTGACAGAGCGGGGTAGAGTTAGAACCTCTGACAGGTACTTGTGACTGTCTGTGTTACCGCTAGAGAGATCTCATTTTACTTTGGGGCTCATTTAAAAACCTTCTGCCCTGCGTAAACCTGAGCAAATGCCATTTGCAGGACATTTCTATTACTAGATGGCACAGAGGTGCATAGGAAATTCCTATGCTGCTCAAATCCCCATTGGTGACAATGGCATTTTTACCCTGCTTTACGCTTGACATAAGGGTTATACATGAGCCCCTTTATTTACTGGAGAAAGTGGTTCAGAGGCACATAAAGTGATGTGCAATCTCCCCAATGGAGAGAGAAGGCAATATTTTTTTCATGGGGTGACAAAAAAAATAACAATTGAGAGAAAATCTCACCAATGACGGCAATAAATCCTGCCAGACGTTCTAAGCATTCCCTACTGTGTACAATGTATTTAGAGCCTCTGTCTCTTCCCCCCTCCCACCCCAAATGAAATACGGAAAGCATTGTTCCTCAATAGAAGACACCGAATATACCCATTTCACCTTGATTGGCTCAGATAAGTTCGTCAAAGTTTGGAATGGTTCACTTTGTTTTGTGTTTAACTGTTTGCGATAGGAACGTTGTTCCTGTCCTGGCTTATGTCCCTTATCTTATATAAAGTATAGTTCCAATCATATGCTTATATTAAAAAGTGTCACGGCTATTATTTATTTGCTGTTATGGCCTTTCACCTCTAAGCTGGACTATGTTATTGAGTTGGTGATTCACATGATGATCTTTGGTTTTTCTTTCTAGGTGGTGTGTTACTGGCGAGCATACAAGGGTTAGCAGTAAATGTGGACCCAGTGATATACACATGGCTTCTCTACCAGCCTCAGAAAAAAGGGGAGAGACAGACCCAACAGGTAATGGTCCATAGTGGGCTAGTCATTTCTCATCATCATCTGATATTTTAATTACTGCTCTGCTATATCTAATGAGACATCAGCTTAGTCCTTTTAACAAAGCTGTGTTAAAGCTGAACTCCAGCCAGATCTAAAGTAACACAAATGAATGAGGTTCTGTATTTAGTAATAAATTTTTTATTTTAAGGAGTATAAAGACCTGAATTTAACTTGGTGTCACCTGAACAGTAGAGCTTAGCCAGGGAGAGAATGAAACAGCGGATGGAGCCAGTCATAAGTGCTGCAGTGCTAGCCATAGACATGCTAATAGGAGGAGAGAGCATACCAGCAGATAGTTTAGTTTTGCGGATCTGCAGCGTAGGGAAAAAACAGGCCTCCTGTCCTGCCAATAAAGGGCTGTGTTGTATAGCAGAGTTGTGTAAATCTTAGATCTCAATTGAAAAAAATACAAATCATTTGGCAGGTAAAGCAGCTCACGTACTGTATACAGTATATATTGCGTATGTGTATTTAGTTGTTTGCCTGAAGTTCAGCTTTAAACTCCATGTCTGACTTAGTAACAACATTCATAAGTACTATGGTATTGAAACATATGCCTTTTAGTTTTACAATGTAAAGAACCAACACTTATATTGTAGCTAAAAATGATTCCATGATACTAGTTTTGGCAGAAGAACACTTATCAGTGAAGCTCAGTTTTCCCTTTTGTTGCTATTGTTAGGAAAGCTGTCGGCTGGATATCTGTCGGAATACACTTGTGTTCACATGATACCGATTATCCTTGCATTTATTTTTTATTTCATGTTCACACTTTTTTCTGTGGAGAGGTGGAGAGAGAATAAATCAGTTGTTTGAATTTGTGTAACATTTATCCCTGCATACTGTAAATAGTATATTTAATAGAATCAAGATCAGTAAGCCTGCAGTCTTGCTTTTTCCTCCAAACCCACTGGAGGCCCTGGGCCCATTGATCTTATCAATATTAAAACACATCTGTCATATGCCCATAAAAAGTAAAATAGACAACTAACTGCAGCTACTCTCTGTCTGCCTTCCCTAAGAGCTGCTGTGGCCCCCTGGCAGAACCCAAGTTTCCTGGGTTTGGGGCAAACATGCATACTCTCTCCCTCATTACACAGTGCAGTGCTCAGTACCTGAATACCCTATTGTCAGGCTCAAACAGTGTGTCATGTTTATCAGTAAGTATTCATTTTCAGTAAGTCAGCATTTGCATATAATCTTTCAGGGACTGTAGTTGAGAGGTGGACAGGAATTCTGAAGCTGACATTTACTACCTAAAGCAGGGGTGGGGAACCTCTGGCCCTTCACATGTGGTAAAAACTACAAATCCCATAAGGCATTGCAAGATTCTCACAGCCACAGGCATGACTCCCAGAGACATGCATCATTGGATTTGTAGTTTCACCACAGCTGGAGGGCCGGAGGTCCCCCACCCCTGACCTAAAGGATGCTCCTTTGCAGCAATTTACATATGACAGGTATGCTTTAAATTAGACCTTGCATATAAATATTAGAGTTCAACAGTGTAATATTGCCAAATAAGCTTTGTAGAATGAAAAGTTAAAAAATGTCACCTTCTGATGTAAAGGACCTGAACCTCTACTTATTAAATTATATGTGTTATTGTGGCATATTCAGTTCCGATCTGGTACTATAGCCCACATCCTGAAAATATCCGGCTAATAATGTAATGCAATATGATGTCAGCATTTGCCCACCAACTCCGTTCCAAATTCCCCTGGCCCTCTTTTTCCTCCTCAGTTGTCCGTTTTTTTTCGTCTGATGTATCTATTCAACTATTCAGCACTAAAAACGTTGCTGTCTCTTAATTGCCTTGTTTTCTATGTTTAAAAGGCAATATAAAGGAAAAGTTATGGTGGAAAGAAAACCAATTCTGAGTTTAACCATTCATTTTTAACATATACATTCTTAATTGTCCGCATAACTGGGAGTGTGGCAGGGACATGTCCATTGCCAATATATATTGTGATGGAAGAAAGTGGGGAGCTATGTGAATGTGGAGGCAATGGGAAAAGATTGAAACCAGGTCTGACAATTATCCAATATGGAAGTACCAGACCTCCAGTTCGCATAGGTCATATGAAGACCAGACAGGCCAGTTCCTGCAGGTTTCAAGTTTGCCAAGTGGTACTATTCCTCCAACACACCACAACTTCATCCAAAAGTTTAGTCACTGATAGGTGTCTAAAGCCGAATTCACATTGTGTTGTGATATTGCATGTGTTTATTTGCATTGGACTGTCAACCATCGCAATGCATGTTATAACATTCTGCAATTTGTGTTTTAATGCAGGAAGCCGCATTTCACAGTTGACTGTTCACATCTGTGCTTTGAACACACTAAAAAGGCATGGGCATTTTGGGCACTGTGTATGTGGATTAGGCTTTCAAAATGTTGAGCAGAACGTTTTTGTTCATGAACCCTCTGACCTTTCCTGTTGCTTGAAATCAGTTGGATTGGACATGTCTTACTGCTCTTGTAGACCAGATATCTACCGGAAAAGCAAAGAATTATTTTAGCCTCAAGAAACCTACTTCATTATCCAGGCCAAACTACAATAGTCAGATTGGGTACGAATCCAAGGGCCTTCTTTTGAGGAGAACTTTCCTCAGCTCTTTAGGGTTGAATAAATAAATCAAACATAAAACTGTCCCTGTTCACCTAAACAGTAACAAAATAAAAATACATTTATGATATATACATTTTTATCTGTACATACAGGTGAAACTCTAAAAATTAGAATATCGTGCAAAAGTTCATTTATTTCACTAATGCAACTTAAAAGGTGAAACTAATATTTGAAATAGACTCATTACATGCAAAGCAAGATAGTTCAAGCCGTGATTTGTCATAATTGTGATGATTATGGCTTACAGCTCATGAAAACCCAGATCCACAATCTCAGAACATTTTTGGCAGTGTGGGCAGGTGCCAAGTCCTGCTGGAAAATGAAGTCCCATAGTGCTCGTCTGCGGAAGAAAGCATGAAGTGCTCCAAAATCTCCTGGTAGACGGCTAAGTTGCATTAGTGAAATAAATGAACTTTTGCACGATATTCTAATTTTTCGAGTTTCACCTGTATGTGCCCACTAAAGCAACTAAACATAGAGCGTAAAACCACCTGATTAAACATTTTTAATATAAATTAAAATAATTGTCCAAATTACACTTAAAAGGTGAAAAAAGTTTCATATCTTGTGAAAAATGTAATTTGCTGCATTAAAGTGCATTTCCCAAGTGATCATCCAGCATTATGTAATCAAACTCACCAGATGAAGCTGACCTTTTTCTTATAGAAGGTCATAAAACACATCAGATGATTCCCAGGCACAGATCATGTCTTCATTTTTCTTAAAGACACCAATGCACATAAATGCCACAGACAGACATACGCAGGAATAAATCTAATAGTGTTATTCCGTTTATTTAATTTAAGAGAAAAGAAGCAAAATGTACTTACATGCAGCTAGTATACCAGAGCACTATTCATAAAGCATTGTAATAAGCCAGTGCCTCCACCGGGCCCGGGCACTGTATCAAGACCACAAGATGATGCCACCCAGCGGTACACAGGCTTCCGACAGTAGTGAGAACCGGAAGTGATGTATTTTTCTGGCCACTCCCAACACATTTGGTTGTTTGACTTTGCCAGGAGTCCTGCCTTCCACTTTCTATGTGGGTGGTATATGGTGGGCACATACTGTATGTACATATGAATAATATATGTTTGTTAAATGTATTTAATAATTTATGTTATTGTTTAGGTCAGTGGTTCTCAACCTGTGGGTCGCAACCCATAGTTGAGGGGGTCCCCACGTGCCTTGTGCTGTTCTAGGTAAGAGGCTCCTCAGCCTCCTCCTAGTGCAGCAGTGTCAGTACTCCTAGATGGCGCTGCAGCAGCGGCCGGAGAGGATCAGAGAGAGGGGAGCAGGCAGGAGTGAGGGGAGGTGAGTGATTAATCACCACAAAGCCCACACTGGGCACCACAGAGGCCGCACTGGATGCCACCAGAGAGTCCCACTAGTCACCTGAGAGCCTGCATAGCCTCCTGAGAGCTCAATCAGATACTAGTTTTGGTGCATCCCTAAATTTTACGGTTGGGGGTCACCACAACTTGGCAAATGTTACCAAGGGGTCCTGGCCCTAGAAAGGTTGAGAACCACTGGTTTAGGTGAATAGTGCAGGTTTTATGTTTTGATCTACTTTCTCAAATAGGGGTGTATTTAAAATTGCTTTTTCACAATAAGCAAATATATTAATTCAGGAGATATTACTCTAACACTAATGACTTTATTAATCAAAAACTCATAGGTCTGAAAGACACTTTTGCTATGCTGTGCATTGGAAGTTAACACACATTATATGCATTAGTGCATTGCAGTGTCATTCATTTTAAATGGCACACCAGTGCACTATGGCAACACCACTCTGACACACATACATTGCAGCATACCACGATATGTGGTAATGCACTACTGTGCATTTGGGCATGCAGCATTTTCCCCCCCGATGCAGCACACCACCTTTTATTCACCCGTTTAAAATTAATTGGCTACCTACATGCAATGCACATTAGGATGTGGCACAATTCATGTTAACACAAGGCACACATATTGCAAAAATAAAAATGTAAATAAACCTTCTTACACATAGCAGAACCTTTCTCTGGAGCTCTCAGTCCTATGCTAATCATCATTTCTGTAGTGCATTTTTTTCCCCCTGGGAAGAGCAGTGACTGGATGCTAGACTGTCAATCAAAAAGAAATGCTGAGAGGCAATGGAGGAGAGGTAGACATTGCCGTCCATTTGATGTCCTTCAGCTGTTCTTGCTCACTCCTCATTCCTTTAGGAGATTGTAGGCTGGGACAGAGGAATGTTGGGACTGCTTTGTTTGATATCGCTACATTTGTATTAGAAGACATCTGCAGATATCTTTATGAGAATTTAGAAATTAACTTTGATTTAGCTGTGCTGTTAACATTTGCTGTGAGTTTTAAAGTAAGAATATGTTAAAAGAGCCAAGGTGTAACAGGTTATTCAGCCTGTGATAAGAGGGCTTGATCAGTTAAAACGCCCAACACCTTTGTACGGAACTCAAGCAGGCTGACAACAGATGATTGTCCTGGGACTTTTACTTTATCATATGTTCTTAATGGAGTCACAAGTGTAAGCAAAATATTCTGCTGTTTGGTGCCCTTCTGTCCACTAGTGCTTGTGGTTCTTTTAATGAGGCATCATCCATTTAAACATTCTGGCCGTAAGAATGCTCAGTTCTTTTGCTGCCCTGGAAGTGAACCTGTGAAACACTTAACTGTTCCATTCGCTATGCTCACCTGCCGAAAAGAGCAGCACTAGTGTTTATTTTTTTCTTCTTTTCCTCCCCAGCCACTGGGATCCGCTTCTCTTGCCATGCCACTGTCGAGGAAGAAGGAGGATGAGGTGTCAGTTGGCAGCACGCCTTTGGCAAAGCAGGCATCAAATCAACCGTCTGAGTATGCCAGCAGCCCTGTCAAAACAAAAACCGTAACAGGTATGCTCTCTTCTTTGGATAAAAAAAAATACATATCGGGAGCTTTTAGTGGGTCAGCTGTGCAAACATGTTGAGGCACCTTTGGGCTTTTCACAAATACACCCTGTGTTAGAGATTTAATGTTTCTATAATTAAAATCCATCCGTTCTTATTATTTCTGCTACTCAGGTTCTGTTTTGATTTAAATATTACTCCTATTTTGCTCGTTTTGTTAAACAGCTTATACGCACAGTTTTTATGTTTGGAGTAGCGAAATCTTGACGATCTTGTTATGTGCTTATAACAGACCAGTCTATGTAGCATAGGTGCTCCGTTGTTGGATAAAACAGACACAGTGGTTGGAGGTGAAAATATAAAGTGGAGCAGTTTTTATGGTGCCTAAATGGGTTTATGTATTTTCACAGAAAAAAAGGAAGTGGTGGGTTGGAACAGTCCTGGGTTGGCTGTATGACAATAATATTTGCCAAAAGCATTTGTCTCTGTGATAGTGTCTATGGGCTGGTGTGAGTTCCTGTGGGCAGCTTAGCCATAGTTACTCATTTAATAAAAACAGCCTAAATACAGGAGGGCTGCTTTAAAGTTACAGGCATCCCATCAAATCACAATTGAGCTGATAATGCTATTCGGTTAACATTGCTTCTGTGCCAAGTCTATTTACTTTACCTTTCATCTAAGTTTATATAATCCTTCACATCAATATTTATTACATGTATTTTTACAGTGCCAACAGTTTACGCCGCACTTTACATAGTGTGTATTCACATCAGTCCCTGCCCTCAAGGAACTTACAATCTAAGGTCCCTATCTCACATGCATAAATGCCGGGCCAATATAGACGGGAGCCAATTAACCTACCAGCATATCTTTGGAGTGTGGGAGGAAACCGGAGTACCCGGAGGAAACCCATGCAAGCACAGGGAGAACATTCAAACTCCTTGCAAATAGTGTTCTGGCCAGGATTCAAACCAGGGACCCCTCAATTATTTTCTCAGTACTTTTAGCACTTGTTTCTGGCTTTTGTCACTTGATTCTGAGCATTGTCATCCCTTGCATAATCCATTGGTCACCTACACGCCTGCATCAGTAGGCATTCTAGACTGCATTTTCAAAACATAGAAGCTGGCACATATAGGTATCTTACTTGCATATATGAGAATTGATTGCCGTGGAATATTTTTTGAGAACTGTACCTCATTTTTTTTAAAGGACCCCTCCATGTATAGCTTTATGTGTGTTTAACTCACACAACAAGGATTACAATGTTAACATGTATTTTAAAGGGAATTATTCATGGTTTCCAATACTGTATTCTTCAAAAGTGCTCCTCATTATTTAATATAACATACATACTTGCTGACAGAACACTGTTTAGAATTCTTGATGAGTACAAATAAATATTTCATTAGAACTGCTGATCTCAAATATTTCTTTTGTACCAAAAATATTCTTTTATAAACATCAGCTGATCAGAACTGAGAACTGGCAATTACACTCAGTAGGATCTTCCCAGAAGTATTTAAATAGCATTAATTTGTAATCTCCAGAGAATAGTGTGTTTTTTCACAGATGTTTGACCTTTTATAATGGTCCTCCAATACAACAGGGCCATTTTCACAATCGAGAGCAGTAGGTGGCTGCATATTAATTATTTACATGTGGCCTTTTAGATTTTTTCCATATTTTTTTTCTTTTTGATGAATATTGTTTTCTCTTTTGGTTTATGTTGTTGAGGATCATTATTTAAGGTGTTTTGATAATAGATATCATTCTACAAATAGATTAAATAGATTTTCTATATTTCCTTTGTATGGAAAAAGGGAAAATAATTATGCAGAAGCTGTGAACAGGTGGCAAACAATTTATACGCATTTCCTGCATTTACAAAGCATATACCTCTTGTATAGTGGTTGCACAATACAGCAGACTAGCAGCCATAAATGCTAAGGTGGCAAAAATCACATAAGCAGTGCAGCTAACCAATAGGGAAGCTATATGGAATACTTGTTTTAATGCCCAGCACCCAGCTAGAATGTGATGTCATAGTTTAGTTCATTAGTCCAGCATTGGAGAACTCTGGTAGGGTTGACAACACTGCTTCCGATATAAATGCTGCAGTCAGATCACTACAGCAAATTATGAGATTACTATTTCTGGCAAGATTAACCAGTACTTGTACTTGCCGCATTTTAAAGTGTCAAAACATTTACAACTGTGCATATTTTGCAGAGATGTACTGAATATATGTTTTCTTTTCTTCCCAGACATACAACTTAAAATTAAGTTTACAGTCTTGATTACAATTAGGGCTGAAATACATACCATCATAGGTGAAAATTCTGTTCTTCGGTGGAAGCCACATGTCTGCATGGCCAGCTGGTCTTTCAGACATATGGCAACCTTGGTGGTGCCTGTGCAGCTAAGCATTTCTCAGACACACTGGAGCATAAAGGGGACGTTGGTAGGTCGGAAGGAGGTCACTTGCAGCTCAGATACACTGAATGATCTCACATTTGTCTCAAACTGATTTTAGATGGTCAATGTACTTGAAAGCAAGCTGCATTTGCCCAATGACATAAGCCCGAACAATGTAGTAATTAACAAAGGAAAATTAGGTAAATGTTGTGGTATAAGTATTGGTGCATTTTCCAAGAACCAAATTAACAGTGTTATGATGAGGTTTTACAGCAGCTACACCTAATTATCTTAAATGTGCTCTGTGATCTGACCTTCTAAAATGGTCTAATCCAGTGCGTTAAAAGAATGAAACATTTGCGCCAATGTTCAAAACAGTTTAAAATGCTGTAGTGAACATAACTTCAGATTCAAGCATGCTGGATCCACATTCTGGAATAGTTGTGCACTACTTTTTTTTTATTTTTTTATTTGTCACAGGAAGAGCTAATTAAGCAGGCACATAGACATATAATACCCCCATTTTTGTTACTGTATCAGCATCGAGTTTTTGAAATCAACCCTAATCCATGTTTCTGCTACATTAAAATGTCTATTATTGGTACACTTCCATTTATATAGTACAAAAACAGTTTTTTGTTACAGAATTAAAAAATATATATTAACATAAAAATGCTTTTATGTTGTTGTTGGTAAAGTGATACTGTTAAGTGTAGACAAAACACAGTAGTTTTTGTTTAATCGACACAACATTATAAAAACTAGTACATCCACCATCCAAAAAAAAAGAACCAATAATTATTTAGCAGTGCATGCTCTTTGAAATATTTGGATTTTGTCCTAAAGTTGGCCATAGGCAACTTAATGAAGTCAAGAAATACTTCCAATTAGAGACCTTTTCTGGTCTCCGAGAAAGTGATAACAAGCAGCTTAGATAGTTGTAGATCCTCATTATTCCACAAAGATTTCCCAGCTTGAAATGTCATTTCAACTAGTTCCTTAACTTTAACTCTTTTGTGGAAAGAAACCAAAGTACCTTGAATGAGTTGATGTTATGGGTACTGGTGCTTGTGCGTGAAAAGGCCATCAAACAAGGTTCGATGGACCTAGTCCAGCTATGGTCATACTAACACCCATCTATCTCAGCAGTGTTGATCACATATTACAGCTCCAACTTTAAACATTCCTTTACTCTCATTTGGGTCTGAATGACCTGTTGGCTGTGTATCACAGAACATCCTCTTGCTACAATGAGTAGGTGAAAGAGTTTACAGTGTTTCTATAGCCAAATACTTAAATTTTTTAAACAAATTGGGATTTTTTTTTTCTGCCTGTCACATTTCAGAAACACAGCAGGAAAAATAAATCTCCACAAAGTGAGGATAATTTCCTGTCTATGGAATAACAGACGCTATTGGAAGATTTGCCTTTACTACTGGTTCTGGTGACAAATCATTAGTCATTTTCTGTCTCCGTGACAATAGCCACCAGATCAGTTAGAGAGGGTGAATCCACCAGGCTGGGAAAGAGACAGCAAAAAAACCAAACAGATGTTCTAACCCTTTCACACGCTATCCCAAACTAAAAATAAGCTTAGGCTTTGCATACACTTCAACTCTTTACCAGAAAAGCTGTTTAGTTAATAGTTTTTGGTTTTATCAACCCCATTTTGGCCTTTTTTCTTGTCAGGAAGAATACATTTACAGAATAATTAATCTTGTCATCCAGTTAATACAACTGGGAGAGTGATACGTGGATTTCTTTCAACCCCTCACCATCTAAAATGATTATATAACGGCACTCGCTATGATTGACAAATCATTTCCTCGCAGCATCATTAGAAGAATAATAATCTTTCGAAAAATCAAGGTTGGCTCAAGCGTGTCTCATATGTCAATCCACTTATCTTGTAAATCTGGAGATTACTTCATCATAACCCAGGGATCGAAATGATTAGCAGAATTGTTATTGTGCATCAGAATTCAGGAAGGAATGGAATTTTTGTGACTCTAAAATTAGCACCATATGCAGCAATGTTTATGTAGCTTATACCTTGTGACACCTCATATTTCATCTGTAATGACATCTGATGCATAGTGCCAGCCAGTTACTCACTTTCTACTTTACATGAGCTAATATGTCATTTTTATTTATCAGGGATTTATAATGATCACTTAATACCATTACATGTTTTATAATAAACATATCGTCAAACGAAGGCTTGTTGTTTTTCGGTTGTTGTTACGACTAAAACTGTAAGTTTAGAAGAAAAAAAAATGATACATAGTGTGTATTCACATCAGTCCCTGCCCTCAAGGAACTTACAATCTAAGGTCCCTATCTCACATGCATAAATGCCGGGCCAATATAGACGGGAGCCAATTAACCTACCAGCATATCTTTGGAGTGTGGGAGGAAACCGGAGTACCCGGAGGAAACCCATGCAAGCACAGGGAGAACATTCAAACTCCTTGCAAATAGTGTTCTGGCCAGGATTCAAACCAGGGACCCCTCAATTATTTTCTCAGTACTTTTAGCACTTGTTTCTGGCTTTTGTCACTTGATTCTGAGCATTGTCATCCCTTGCA